AATCTAAGAAAAATATTAAAATTTCGCTGAGTTATGAATTTTAGAAGCTCGCAGGACCTACATTAAACGTTGGTTGCTAGAAGCTTTCCGGCTATTCAACTTCTTTTTGTAAAATAAAAATTTTTTTAATTAAATAAGGTTTAATAGAGAATTATTTCCTCTATTTAATGAAATTTAAATCAAAAAAAAATATTAAGATTTCATTGAGTTATGAATTTTAGAAACTCGCAGGATCTCCACTAACTAGGGGAACGCCTAAAAATTAATTTTTTTTCTAAAAATTTTTCCCCCATTTTTACCAATTTAATTTTAGTAAAAATAAAAACATGTTTTTGATAGAAAAAGCATTTTTAAAAATTGTTAAAAAAATTTTTTTCCTCTCGGTCCATCCATTAAAATGGAGCTGCCCATTGGATCAAAATAAAATAGCCTTGCCCAAAATTTTATTTTTATTTATTTAGCTTTAAAAGAGAGGAAAAAAATATTTTTTTGTGGTGTTTATAATAAAAAGAAAAAATTTTTTACAAAATTACGAACGAATTGAAAAAATAAAAAATTTTCGCGGCAGGAATTTTAATATTTATATTGGTGTCGGGAATGGCTAATATTAAGGGGGGATATTTTAATTTAATTTTAATTTTAAAATTTAATTTTTTAATTTTATTAGCAGAGCGATTTTTCTCTGTTCTTGGAAACGGGAGACCGTTGAACAAGTAAGAAAACAAAAATGGAAGAGAAAAAATATTTTTGGAACTGCCACATGGAACCCGAAAATAGGGAAACGCTTGATTTTTTAAATCAGGAGTCTTGTTGGCCACTGGATAGGGGAGCGCCTAATCGGAACCTTTAAGTTTACGTACGGCTTTTATTTTAACACCTCATTTTTCCCATCGCGCAAAGGCATGTGTACAACAGGGAAGGGCCGGAAGATGGAAGTTAAAATTGTGGAAGATGGAAGTTAAAAGGCGGAAAAGAAAGACCATCCCCAAAGCCAAAGTTGGGGATCCAACCGATGCCGAGAAAAAAATATGTCGAAATTTGATCATATTTTTAAAAATAAAAATAAAATTTTGCTCAAAAAAAAAGATAACAAAAAACTTGCATTTCCTTTTTAAAATTTATGGAAATTTTCCTAAAAAATTTTACAATTTTTTTGTCGCGACATGTTTAAAAATAAATAAAAATGCACTCAAAATTCATAAAGTAAAAAAAAAGATTTAATTTTCGGCCTTTTCAAAAATAAAAAAAATTTTTTTAGTGCTTCTATGAACAAAGTGAAGTGAATAAAATTATAGAGAATATTGAATTGGACATTTTTTAAAAAATAATAGAAAAAATAACCGGACGAAAAAAAAATGAATTTTTTAAAAATGATGAAAATGATGTTGTGTTGGATAAACGAGGAAAATTTTTATTTTAGAGGAAAATTTAAAAATGAAAAATTTTTTTCTAATTTCGATGCCCATAGATTAAAAAATTATTAAAAATATGAGCCATACCCAATTTATGGGTACAGCCCAAAACAAAGCGCGGCCATACCAACGCAAAGCCATAACTAATCTGCAAAATTCTGGCCCTTTTCCATTTTGGTACCAATCTCTTTAGCTCGATTGGAGGAATCGTTTAATACTAAATTTGTTAAGATTTGGAAATTTTGAAGTTATGGTTTTGCGTTGTTATGGCCGTTCGGTGTTATGGCCGTTTCTTTTTCGCGTTTCGTTTTTCGGCTTTTTAAAATTTTCGGCATGCCCTAATACGGGATTATCAACAAAGTTAGGTATAAAATTGAATATTTAAAATTAATAAATTAAAAATAAATTGAAGGAGGATAAAAGGAAAATTTAAAAAAAAGTTTGGGAAGGTTAAAAAGGCGGCAAGTTAAAAAAGAAAAAAATAAAGCCTCCAAAAGGCATATAAAAATGCCCTTGGTTTAAGGTAAAAATTATAAATGGAAATTAAAAAAAATTAATTTTTATTTAAAAAATATTTTGTCTGCCCTTTAGAAATTAAATATTGAAGAAAAAAAATTTTTTTTAATTAAAAAAAATTTAAAAGAGAGAAAAATATTAAGAAAAAGACTAAAAAATAAAAATACTTAAAAAGGGATATTTTTGAGAGAAATAAAAAATTGAAAAAGTCAAAATTGCTTTGGGGATTAGATATAAAAATTAATATTTATATTAAAATTCAAAGAAGGGTTTAATATATAAATAATAAAAAAATATTAGAAAAATAAATTTAAAAGGAAAAATAAATTGATTTTTCAAAATTTAGTAGTAAAGCCATGGCAAAAAAATTATTTTGAGGTAAAAACAAAAATAAATTAATAAAATTAATTTTGGCTATCATAGCTAAAATTGTGTTTATCCCACATTCAGGAGGATCTCTGTTTTATAAACACCCACCCATTAGGACAGAAAAGGTGTACTCTTATTATAAGGTGTATATTAATAGAAGATATAGTGCTCGAGTTGTTTCCCATAAGGATCAACATATAGAGGTCTAAAGCCAAAGCTCGATATAGCAACCCTTCGATATAGTGACCCCTCGATTTAATAGACACTCAAAAAATAAACTTTTAAAAGTGACTCTCGAAACCTACACTGGATCTCTACAATTTAACGACATTTTCCGTTGGTAATTCGAGTTTGCTATAACGAGATACGAGTGTATCATTTGTTTAAAACGAATTAAGATAACAAAATTAAAAGGTAAATGTCTGGTTGGGGTATCTTTTTTGGTGTCTAGGTTAGTGTCCGGTGGTTGGTTCGACCTCTCGATTTAGAAAAAGCTTGTCGAAACAGCCTAGTCTCTTAATGAGAGTTTTTTTTCTCTAATAACTCGAGTTTATTACTGCTAGATTTCGACTGTATATATAAAATTAAATATATAATTAATTAAAATAAAAATTTAATTTTTAGTCTAAAATAGAGCAGAAAATATAAATCCAAAAATAGAGCAATAAAAATAAATATATAAAATTGCAAAAATGTTTTGACGGCTGCAAAAAGCTGGCAAAACAATTATTATTAATATTAATATAATTTTTAAAGCGCAGGGACACATTTTATTATTCGAGAAAATTTATATTAAATGAGAAAACAAATTAATAATAAAGTAAATTTGAAGTTTGGTTTTAGTACAAAACAGAGAATTGTTACAGATTGTTGGCTCGATTTTAATGAAAGGGTCCATTAGCCTTAAGAGTCGGTCCCTTGTTCGTATTTAAATTTTATTTTTTAATCCAAAAATTAAAAAGTAAAATACAGGCCTAAAAGTTTGAAGGACAATCCTCTATATAACCTATACTGTTTCGAAGGCTCAAAGCATAATGTCAAATGAACTCCTTCTTAAAAAGGGTGTCCTTTGGCCTGATTTTTTAAAATCTTATTGTGTCTTCTTTTTTTCTTGATTTTTCTGATTGTCTAAAAATATCAGAAAAATGTCAAAAAATTAGAAAAACAAAGGAAGGGTTTTCCTTAATTATTATTAGAGCCAAAAAAATTTTTTTAACGAGAGAAAAACATTTTTAAGGCGAAGAAGTATGGCTTGTTTCAAAATTCAATTTTATTCTATTTTTAAAAAATTTTTTCGATTCTGAAAAAAAATTTTTATGGGACCAAATAGAGACAAAAAATTTTAATTTATTTCTACATATTAGTCAAAAACCGTATACATTGGTGATTATAAACTTGGAAAACTTTCTCCTCAACTTTTGCTAGAAGCTTTGCTAACACCTCGATTATATGTCCTATTTACTGAGCTTAATTTTTATTTTTATTTAAAAAAATAAAGGCCTAGCTAATAAAAATAAACAAAAACAATAATATTAAAATAAAATATAATGAGTTTTTCATTTTAAGCCAAGAAAATAAAAATATTCAATTAAAAAGACAAGCTACAAAAAGCCTTTTTTATTTAAAAATAAAGTAAAAAAGACGGCTGTTTTTATTTTTAATTTTTGGACTTTGAGTGCCAAATTAAAGTTGCCATTTTTAATTTTTATTTTTTTTTTTTCGTTTGCGCAAGGGAGGAGGAAAACCTTTTTATTTTTTAAAGACGCCCATTTAATCGCAGAATTTATTAAAAATATTATTCTAATAAAAAGGACAGTATTAGCCAATTATTTTTAAACGTTAGAGAAACTCTCTTATATTCTAGTGCTATTTCTCCCGAAAAGATTATGAAGTAGAAGAGTACGAAGTAGAAGGTCCCAATTATTCCAAGCTTCACAGGCTACAGAGTCTCCAGGTTATGCCAGACTCCTAGACATCCCTTTCGCCCAGTTATCTCAATCATCATCGCCCCAGTCTACAAGCTATCTCAATCACAATCTCTCCCAATTATCCCAGCCTTTAAATTATTCTCATCCCTCAATTACCCCAATTTTCAATCTCCCAGACATTACAAGTCTCAATCCATTTATAAATATCTCGCGAATAAAAGGGTATAGGACACGCCTATTTTAATTGCAAAAGAATTACAAAGCATACTAAAAAAGATCAAAAAAGCAGCTTACTTATTAAATAAAAATAAGTAAATGAGAGAATACTTAAATATTTTATTTTTTCTTTTTTTACATCCAAAAATAGAAAATTTTATTAAAAATGTTTTTTTGTGTGTTTTGCTCTGCGCGACACACAAAGTTAATAAATGCCAAAACCAAAAATTAGAATACAAACACATTTTGTTTAATATAAAAAATTTTTAAATGGCAAAAGCAACAATTTTTGCAATTAATATACATGTGAAAAGCACTATATAATATAATAAAAAATAAAAGTTGAAAAATAGTTAAAATTAGGACAGGTTATGGGGGCAGGGAAGTGCCAATTTCGCATTCCGCGTTTTGTCTTTCGCGGATTTTTGCGTTTTTTGGACTTTCGCCTTTCGCGTGTCGCTTTTTAAAATCTGTTTCGGCACACCTTTGGTCAGGTTATGGGGCAGGGGTATGCCAGTTTCGCCTTGCATCTTTTGCTGAATTTTGCTAGTTTCTAGTGTTCCGCCCTAGGTTTTCGCCTTTCTTGTAGACTTTCGTTTCGCCTCTCCCTAATTTCGCTTTTTGATGTTTCGCTTTTTGCCTTTCGCCGAATTTTGCCTTTTTTGTTGTTTCGCGTTTCGTGTTTCGCATTTTTTGATTTTCGCCTTCGAATTTCGTATTTGGGGTATTTTTTTATTAAATTTCGCCTTCTTGCTTATCATATTCGCAAATCTGTTTCGACATACCCCTTGTTATAGGGGAAAGATTTCAATTTGCCCTCAGGGCATATAGACAAAAATTTTAAAAGAATTTAGAAAAATAAAAAGATTTTACTTAAAAAATAATTTTAAAGTGAAAATTTAACAATTCAAAAAATTTAAAATGAAAGGAATAAAAGAAAAAAAATATTTTTGGAGAGAGAAAATAATTTCGCAAAGAATTTTAAAGAAAAATCGGGGGCAAGAAGTAAAGAAAATAGTGAAAGCGCGCTACCAAAATTTAGAAAATTTGTGTGAGGGTGTGAGTGTTTTTGTCCTGATTTTTGTGCTAAAATTGGCGACGGATTTTGTACTTTTAATTTTAAAATTGACAAAAAAAATTTTTTTTTTGAAAAAAAATTAAAAATAAAAATGGGTAATTTTTAGGGGGAAATAAAATTAAGGTGCTTTTCTCAGTTAAAAAAATTTTTTAAGATAAGAGGTCACCACTAGGTTCGGGACCTCCTAATTGTAAAATTAATTTAGTAATTAATTGTGAAGGTTAGGTAAGAGGGATAATGGAGATTGTTTCGAAAAACTAAATTTCGAATATATCAAAACACGAAATTTCGGGTTTCGAAAATTTCCGAGTTTCGCTGAATTTTGGGTTTCGTAGAATTCGAAACTCGAAAAACTTTCTAGTTTAGAGTTTCACGAAATTTCGAGTTTCGTAAAATTTCGAGTTTCGCAGAGATTTAAGGAATCTTTCAGGTCATTAGACATTAAAGAAATTTAGTGATAATAAAGACAGAATAAAATTTAAAAAAATTTTAGTCTTAACACGATAAAATGTCTAAAATTAAACATTACAATTTTTAGAATTAAAATTAAATTAAATAATTTAGTAAAAAAAATAAAAAATTAATATATTAAAAATAGAGCTTTCTAAAATTTCAATTAATTAAATTAATTTAGAGGAAAAGATAAAATCTTTTTTTTTAATTTAATTTTTGATTTAATTTAAAATTAAAAATAAAATCCCCCTCCCCCCTTTTTTTTCTCTCTCAATTAAAAAATAAAAATTTCCTTCCCTTTAAAAAAATTTAAAAAAAAAATTAAAAAATTTAAAAATAGTAAATCCCCCCTTCAATTCATTAAATTACACCAAGTCCCCCTCTTTAATTCATCACATTTTTTTTACTTTTTTTTTTAAATTTTTCCTCCTCTGGACCGATGATTCCTCGAAATTCTCCTCTAACAGATTTTCCCTCTTTCTTAAGGTGTGTAAATTTTTTTTTATTTTTTTTTCATCGTCCGAAGAAATAAAATAAATTTATTTTTATTTTTATAAAATAGCGAGACCAAAATAAAACACACCACAGTTGCACCAACAAAAAAAAATTCGCTCAATGGCCGTTGATTTTAATGGCCAAGAAATATTGGGCGGTAGAGTCTGGGGATATTGAAGAGTTGAAAATTTTATTTGAAGGTTTTCGAGAGTTGAGGAGACTTTATAGAAGCTGCTAGAAATCTTCAAAAATCGAAATTTCGAAAAAATAATAAAGACGTCGAATCGAAAGGCGAAATTTCGAAACTAGTTTACTTGTATGAAGAAGCTTATGTTAGAGAAGTTGAGAGAATTGGAGAAGTTTCGAGATAATTTCGAGCTAGAGAAATTTCGAGTTTCGAGAACAATTTAGATCATCATGAGAGATTTCAAGTTTCGTAAAAGTTTCGAGAAAAATTTCGAGTAAGAGAAAAATTTCGAGTTATAGAATTTCGAGTTGTTTCGTAAAAATTTCGGATTTAAAAATAATTTCGAATTTCAAGAAAAATTTCGAGTTTCTTAGAAGATAACATTCGAGAAGAAGCTTAAGGATGACCAAGACAAAAATCCACGACTCTAAAGTACGGAAAAAACAATTTTTAAATTCCTCAAAAAATTAAAACGTTAGTCCAGTGGAAGAAAAAACACTACACTTAATCGAGAGCAGAAACAGCTGTCCCTTTCTTCCAATAAAAATTAAATCCACCTCTTTTCCTTTACTAACTAACTGCCCCTTTCTACCCCTCTCCTTTACATTTTTTGGTTCTTAAAAATTAAAAAAAAATTTTTTTAGCAGAGTAACAACACCAAAAAAAAACGGCAGGTGCTCTCCCTCACTTACCAACTTTTTAAAATTAACTGGACAAAAATAAAGACTTTTGTTTTTATTTATTTTTTAATTGAGAAAGGAGGGATATTGAGAAGGAGGAAGAATAAATAGGGTTGGCCAAGCAGTCGCGAGAATTTTCAAAAAAAATTGAAAAAAAATTAAGAAAAAAATTTTTTTAAATAAAATCCCCCCGCATTTTATAAGCTATTAAAAAGCTTATAATAATTTTTCTTTAAATAGAAAAATTAAAAAAAAATAAATTTATATGTTAACACAAATAAGCGTAATATAGGGAAAATAAAAATAAATAATTTAAAAATTCCTTTAATTTTATATAAATGTTTGTGACGTTAAAAGGTTTATTATTTACTTTTAAAAAATTAAATTTTTGTTTTTAATTTAAATAAAAAATAAAAAAAATTTTAAAATAGGTAAACACTATAAACTCGATATATATAAACCCAACGAAACGAAACAAAAAAATTTTAAAAATTATTTCGTCAGAAACAGAGGTGTGTTGGAACGGCCAGAGATGTCGGAAATCGGAAGAGCCGGAAATCGGAACTTTCTCAAATGTCGGAACTCGGAAATCGGAATAAAAATTTTTTTCGGAAATTTGAAGAAAAAAAACGCCGGAAATGGGAATTCCGACCCACCTCTGGTCAGAAACAAAACGACTCCTCTCTCGGGTGTCAATTGAGGTGATGTTTGAAGGGAAGTGAATTAGACTTGAAAAAAAATTTTTTTAATAAATTTAAAAATAAAATTTGAAAAATAATTCGAATTAAAAAACAGTGTTAAAAGAAAAAATGTTAAAGGATATACTATTTTCGAAAAAAAAAATAAAATTTAAAAAAGGGAGGGATTTTTAAAAATAAAAAATCGCTGTCCCTAGCACATTTTTGTTTTCCTTTTAAAAAATAAAAAAATAGCCAGAGGCAAATTTCCAATAAAAAAATTATATATCTCGATGCTTTACTCTAGCTACCAACTATATCCCCTGTTAAATTCTCCCCTCTAGCTATGTCTACTAAATACTTGAATGTTGCCCTGAGTTAATTAAAGAGCGCAAATTGTTTATAAAAAATATGTAGGCACAAAAATATTTTTTTTTTTTAAATAAACAGGAAAAATAAAAAAGAAAACAAGCTAAAAAGGGGTATAAAAGGGGCAAAAATATACTGCTGCTGTTCTTAAAATGAGAAAAAAAAATTTAAAATGAGAAAATATTAAATGCGCACGAAAATGCTTAAATAGTAGGGGAATATAAAATGTTGTAATATTAATAGCTTTTATGGTATGAATAAAATAGAAATATAAACAAGTTGGAAATTAATTAAACTTGAATTTAAACAAGTTTTTAATAATAACTAAAAATTAAACTTGGATTTAAACAAGTTGGAAATAAATAAAATGTTTGGGAAATAAATAAACTTGAATTAAATATAAACAAAACAAGTTTAAATAAAAAACAAACAAATAAACTTGTAATAATTAAACTTGAAACAAATAAACTTGGAATAAGTATTAAAAAAAGTTGGAAGAAAAATAAAACTTGAAATAAATAAACTTGTTTTAAAATAAATAAACTTGCAATAAATTAAAATAAACTTAAAATAATTAAACTTGAAAATAAACTTGATAAACTTGAAGCAAATAAAACTTGAAGCAAATGAAATAAACTTTCTAATAAATATACCTATTAGAGTCTCAACAAAAATATAAATTTAAAAAAAGAATTAGCACTTTATTTTTTAAAATTCCTTTTTATTTTTACATCCGTTTTAAAAATAAGGAAAAACAAAATTAATAAAAAATATGTAAAATGAATTAAACTAACTAGAGTAGTATTTTAGTAAAAAAAATATTTTGAAGCAAAATAAAACTAAATGATTGAATGAAATTCCTTGATGATTGAATGAATCCTTTTTTAAAGTAGTAAAAAAGCTAAAAGGATTTTGAAAAAGATTTTGGAAGAAAGGGAAAATTAGCGGCAATTGGGGGCAAAAAGGAGAAGAAAAATTAAGCGATCAGAAGAAATGGAAAGGTCTTTAGGGCGCGGGTTTGTTTAGGCGCGCACTTAAAAAAAAGGTGGATTAAAAGTAATTGGAGATGTGAAATTTTTTTGTAAATTTTCTAAAGGTCTTAGCTATATTCTCAGAAAATTTCAGAATTTTTGGTTTAGTATCTCAAAAGTTATGGTCAAAAAATCACATAAAATGCGTATTTTTAACAGTATAATAGACACTTTCGACCAGAATTTCTGAAATAATGAACTAAAAATTCTGAAATTTTTAGAGATGGAAAATAAAGGTCTAAGCTAAATTCTCTGAAAATTTCAGAATTTTTGATTGAGTATCTCAAAAGTTACGGTCAAAAAATCACTTAAAATGCGAGACTTTTAACAGTAACAGGGACACTTTCGACCAGAATTTCTGAAATAATAGACCAGAAATTCTGAAATTTTTAGAAATGGAAAATAAAAGTCTTAGCTATATTCTTTGAAAATTTCAGAATTTTTGATTTAGTATTTGAAGAGTTATGGTCAAAAAATCACATAAAATGCGAGATTTATAACAGTAACAGGGACACTTTCGACCAGAATTTCTGAAATAATAAACCAGAAATTCTGAAATTTTTAGGGGTGAAATTTAAAAGGTATAAAAGACATCCTAGCAAAATTTCAGAATTTTAGACAACCAATTCTCAATTTTATGATTTTTTGTTCTAAAGCAGTCGGCGCCCTAACATCCCCTAATCCAGACGCAAAATATAAATTAAATTAAAAAATTTTTTGAAAGAAAAATAAAAGCTATTATTAAAAAAAGAAAAATAGAAAAAAAGTATATATATTTTATTTATAGAAGCTGACAGCGCCTGATTTTGGCGTCAGAGTGAAAAAAATTTTTCAAAGAAAAAAATGTGTCATTTGTGAAGGAGTAAAAAAATTAGAGGATTTTTAAATAGAAAAAGTGAAAATGGCTAATTGAACACAGCAACATAAAACAGGCAGAGGGTGCAACCAGCCTTTCAGTGCGGGAGTATGGTTTAGTTGGTTAGTGACAGCGAAAAATGCACAAGGTTCGAATCCTTTCAGTGAAAATGAATTATATAATAAGGAAATCCTAATAATATCTTTTCTAATTAACATTTAATGTCATTTTAAATTAAAATAAATTTTTTCAAATCAATCTTTCCTTTATTTTTCATTTTCTAAATTTACTTATAAAACCATATGTAACTTTTTTTAAACATATTAAAAATCAATAAATTTGGTTTTAAAACAAAGATAAGACTTTGTTTAACGATTTGGCTAAGTTGAAATTTTTTTCTCAAAGTTTTTTTTCGAGATAAAGCTTCTCGAAATTATACATCAAATCTTTAGAGAAATAGCATGCGAAAAAAATAGAGCGATATAGAAAAAGAGAAAATTTTTCATTTATTTCAGTGCCACTGAAACGGCTCTAAGTTGCAGGTTATGTTGCTGTGTTGAAGAAAGGAAATAAAATTGGGGAAAGGAAAATTGGGGAAGGGGTAATTAATACACTTTTTTTGCAATTGCTGATAAATAGATTGGGGGTTTTTTTTAGTAAAATTAGTTTTTATTTACTGTGGAGACGAGCTACCCCGAGGATTTGTTGAAATTGTTGAAATATTATTGAAATTCGGACTAAGTATATATCAAGGATGATTAGGGAGATTTCCCATTCGAATTATAAATGTTCCTTTCAGACTAGGCATGTTCCATCAAAGTTTGAAATTACCACACGGACTGTGGATCAGAGGTGGGTCGGAATTCCGTTTCCGATTTCCGGCGTTTTTTCCTTCCGACTTCCGAAAAAAATTTGATTTCCGATTTCCGAGTTCCGACTTTTAAGCTACCGTATTTCCTATATTAGAGCCCCACCCTCTGTTAGAGCCCCACCCTTTAATACAGCCCCACTTTGGAGGGTAGTTGAAAAATAGAGCCCCACCCTCAATTAGAGCCCCACCCCTAATACAGCCCCACCTAAAAATATTGGAGGAAAAATAAAAAATATCCCAATAATTTTTAAGATTATTAAGAGTTAAGGAAATAAAGGGCCATGGGGATATAAGGATTAAGGGAAATATGAGGGATTAACTAAGGGGAAAAGGAAGAGATATAGTGGGTATTCCTTTTATCCCCGATAGATATCCCTTATATCACCGATATCCCTCTTCACAAAAAAATCCCTTCATATGCCTACTAATACCTCATTCAAAATATCACTCTTAACCCCGCTAAATCTCTCAATATAAAATTAATCCTCTGATATTCCCCATAATCCCTTAAAATCGCTTGTATACCTATATATGATCCATCAATGTCAAATACAAGTCCCCTAATATTCCCTTTAATCCGTCAAAATCTACAAATATTTTATAATTAATCTTACCCTCATTGAACTATTGCGATTATTTCGTTACTCATTGCTTATAAAATTTTAATTTTTTTGAAAAATTGAAAAATATCGATTGTCTTTCGATATTTTTTGGTTTTATCAACCAACCCCTCCGGCCTATCTCTAGTTGCAATGGATATAATAAATGGGATTCTATCTCAAAAGAGGGTTGAAAAATAGAGCCCCACCCTCAATTAGAGCCCCACCCTTTAATACAGCCCCACCTTGGAGGATAGTTGAAAAATAGAGCCCCATGGGGCTCTAATATAGGAAATACGGTATTTCAGATTTCCGACAGTTCCGAGTTCCGAAACCTCTGACAGTTCCGACCCACCTCCGCTGTGGATGTTCCCTGGAGACTTCATCTCTAACTATAAAAGTTTCAAACTTAGGATGTTCTTCATGGAATAGGCATGTTCCAGTCGAAGGGACTGAATTTAAGCTCATTTAAATTAGGATTTTAATTAAAAAGTCTCCTCAACCCCCTAACTTTATCGTCTAAAAAGTGCTCTTTTAATTAAAAATAAATCTATTTAATTAATTAAATAGTCACATTTAATTCGAGTTTTTGACGTTTTTTAGTTTTTAATTTATTTTTATAATTTGGTTAATTTATCAAAAAGATGTGGAAGAATAAACAAAAAAACTGGGAATAAATTAAAGGAAAATGACAGCCAAAAAAAATTTTTTTTTCTATAAAAATTATTTTTAGGATTATTTTTTTAGCGGAATTTTTGTGAAGGAAGAAGCGAGAAATAAATTAATTAATTAAAAAAGATTGGGGGGGGGGTGTGCTAAAATTAAAAGAAAAAATTTTTTTATTTTTTTTTGTGGGTGTGGATGGACGAGAAAAATTTTTTTTGTTTTAATGCTTTGTTTTAGAGAGAAGTGGTTAATTGATGTGATTAGAATTTTGGTTAAGATGTGACTTTTATTTTGTTAAATTTTATTGAGAAATTGAAAATTAATGAGGGAGGGAAGAAGGTAGAGTCTGAAAAAAAAGACAGCCGAAAATTTCTTCGGCTAAAGGAGATGTATTTCGAAAGAAGATAGTCCGAAGAGAACACTGAAGGGAATATGTATAGGCTGAAGGGAACACTTTTAATTCCCTCTACGGTCAGAACAGAACAATCATCTCGGTTCGAAAGGAACATTCCTGTCCCTTCTCTGGTCCGAACGGAACATAACTAATCAAAAAAGGATTTAGCAGAGTTAATTCTAGGTGAGGAAAGTCATAGCCCAGAAGGGAACATTTGAACATTTTGTAGCCGGAACAGAACAACTTGTCTCCGAGGAACCTTACTTAAAAATGGGGATGGGACTTAAAAATTGGGGACCAAATTTACAAAAAATAATATTAAAGGATAATAAAATGATCAGAAAAATATTTTCAAAACCCCCAAAAATAAAAATATACAAATTTGAGAAATGTGAAGATTTGATGAATATTTTTTCTTTTACTTTTCGGAAAATTTTATAAATATTTATCTGTACTTTCCAATCATTTTATATTTTTATACCAAGGTCAGAAATGAATTAAAAATGAAGGCAAAAATTCTTGTGCAAATAGAACAAATAAATGTAAGGGTCACATATGTAGAATTAAGAAAATTTTTTTAAAATTAATGATAAATTTGTATATCACCGGACCGAGACGAGATCTGGATCGAAAATCTCGGTTATCGAGATCGAAAATTTTTCGAGATCTCGATTCTCGTACGACACTCAAAGTCCGGTCTCTAGTTCAAAAAGAACACCTAAAATCCGAAGGGGACCATCTATTGTCCAGATGGGATGTTGATAATCCAAAGAGAGCATTCCTAACTTGAAGGCACCTATGCACAATGTGAAGAGAACGCCTATAGTCCTAAGAGGACGTCTAAGGTTCGAAGGGAGCATTTAAAAATTCGAAAGTGACATCTAAATTTGGAGTGGACTTCTAGTCTTAAGAGAACATCCCTTGTCTTAAAGGAACAAGCATATTCTGAAGGGGAACTTTCCTTACTCTGAAAAGGAATATTCCCGGTTTAAATAAAAAATGGTTCCAGAAAGGAAAATTTGACTAAAATCGGGCACAAAAATAAGCATATGTAAATCATAGACTAATTAAATAAAGTAGGATGAGAAAAAAATTTTTTTTTAAAATAGTTTAATTGTAAAATTGATGGAGAGTGATTTATTAAAAAAAATTTTTTTTTGAGAAAAAGTGGACAGGCATTTTTCGGGTCACTTAGCCCTTTTTTCTCTCTTTTAAAATAAATTTTATTTTTTTACTATTCAGTTTTTCCCCTAGTTTTTACTATGAATTTTACATCAATTTTTTTTGTTGACCTTCAAATGTCTGTCCACTCAAAGGGGGATGTGTGGGGGGATGTGGGGGCTTTTTTTTTATAATTTTTCGGGGGATTGAAAATGTGGTGGAGGGAGTGGACATTTGGAAAAGTGAAATGAGAGTGAAATAAAAGAAAAAAATGTAAAATAAAAATTTTGTTGAGAGCGACGAAACGCTGCGGGGTGGGGGAGGGACAGGACGAACACTGAAGAAAGAAAATGAAAAAAAAGTGAAAATGAAGAAAAATGGGTGGGAGAGAATGAAATGACCAACTAGAACTGGGCGAAGTGACCAAAAGAAATTTTATAGTTAGGGGGAGGGGGGTCAAGAGTTTTAATGGGGGTGATCAATAGTCCGAAGGGATGATCTATAGTGTGAAGGGAACATCGAAGCTCGAAGGGAACATCTCGATAGTTCGAAAAGAACATCCCCTAGTCCGAAGGGAACAGCTCCACAATCCGAAGGGAACATCCCCATAGTCCGAAGGGAACATCCCCATAGTCCGAAGGGAACATCCCCAGAGTCCGAAAGGAACATCCACATAGTCCGAAGGGAACATGCCCATAGTTCGAAGGGAACATGCCCATAGTTCGAAGGGAACTCTATTCCTTTTAGGTGGGTGATCGGTCACGTAAAAGCTTCTAATCAAAGAAATAAAGGCGTTATTTTCGAGATTAAAGGGGAGACTTTGATCCCAAATATAAAAAGACTCAAATGGTCCATATTGATCATCTAGCTTTCTCGCCGAATTTTATATTTTTTTCATTGAAAGAAAAATGAAAACAAATAAAAAAAATTAAAAAATTGAAGAGAGAAAATGAGAAGGGAGGACAGAGACATAAGGTTTTTTGACCACCATCGTGCTTAAGAGGATAACGCTTGGAGGAAAGGGCAAATGTTGAAAATAAAGAAAATTTTGAAAAAAAAAATTGGGTCATTAAATGACCACCAAAAAATGAATATAAAGTTTTTTAGAGAAAAAAATAAAATAAATTTTATAGAGAAAGAGATGCTTATCTCAATGAGAAAAAATTTTATTTTTTATGTTGGCCATTTTTTTTTGTTTTTGATGTTCAATTAAAAGAGTAAAAAAATATTTTATTTAATTAGAAAGAAAAATTAGAAAGAAAATAAATTAATGGGTCATTTTAGAGTCGAATTAGAGTATTTTAAAAATTATGGAGGAGTTTGATACAGTGAGGGGCATAAGGTACTTTTGACCACTCTCTCTGAGGAGCTCTCTCTTGGGAGCAAGCTTTTAGCCTTAGGAGTCGGCTCCGAACAGCATGGAGCGGCCATTGATGGATCAGCTTCAAAAAACCCTTAGCTTCCTGTCTTGGGAATCACATAACTCCGAGGTCGAAGCCAAAAATTTGAAAGAGAAAGGCTGTATTCAGAAACTAAGGCTATGGAGGAGTTTGAGAAAATTTTTCAATTTCCTCCGTTACCTCTGGAGAGGAAACAAAAATTTTTTTATAGTGCACTAGCCTTAACAACAAACTATCTAAAAAATTTTGCAAAAATAAATTGCTTATCTTTTTTTATCAATTTTAAACAAATTTTATTTTTAAGGTAAATAAACTAGGTATAAATTATTTTTTGGAGGGACCACCCTATTTATTTAATCTAGCGATAATATGTATATAAAATTAATTATTTTTAGAGATGAAAGTATTATATTTTCACTAAAAAATAGTAAAATTAAGAGGAAAGAAGCAAAAAATAATTTAATTAAGTAAAAGGACACATAGAGAACAAGCACAGGGGCAGTCTACCGCCGGGCCTATGACTAGACCTGGAAAGGTCGGATCTGGCCAAATTTGGTACCATTCGAAAGAGCTCCTCGAGCTGCGTCGAATGATACCAAAATTAACTTTCAAAGTCATTCATACTTTTTTTATTAAATTAATTATATGAAGGGACACATACAGACCAAGCGCAGGGTCAGTCTACCGCAAGGCTTGTAGCTCGACTTAGGAAAATCGTATCCAAACACATTTGGTATCATTCGAAAGAGCTCCTTGAGCTGCATCGAATGATACCAAAATTAACTACCTAAGTCATTCCTACTCTGAGTTATGGCCCTTCTGGTAACTGCGGTCGCTTTAGACAGAACCTGCTCCGTTTAAGTAGTAAAAAATTTGTTTTAAAGAGACTAAGTGGTCAGTTTAACAAAAAAATAAAATAAATAGAAAAAAAGAGTTTGGCGTTCAACGAAAACGAAAAAATTAGAAGAAAATATTTTTATCTACATATTTATTTTATTTATTTATTTGACCTTTCCCAAAAATTTATTAAAAATTGAGAGAGATGAATGGCTATTTTTTTAATATTAAAAAATGGAGAATAGAGGGGAGAGAAAAAAGTAAAAAAATAAAATTGTAGAAATGACTAAAAAAAATTTTTTTCTAGAAAATAATGATGCCCCTGAAAGTATACGAGTGGACATAACGAGTGGTCATTTAATGAGAAAAATTTTTTTATTTTAATTTAAAAAAGAGGGAAAATTAATTAATTAAAATAAAATTATTTAGTAGATAAATAGTTTAATAAAAAAATTAATTAGGTTAATAGAAGGGAATTATTAAGAAAATTTTTTTTAGTTTTCTCAAAAATTAATACTTATCTTAGTGAAATAAGAAAGAATAAAACTTGGAAATTTATAGGAAAAATTAATTTAAAAAATTATAAAACTAGTATAAGCAAATAAAAAAATTTTTTAATTGGCAAAATGAGAAGGTTTAGGGATTTTTTTAGTTTAAAAAAAGATTTTATAAAAAATTCAAAAAATAATATAGGTAAATGTCTGAACCTTCTCATTTTGCCAATTAAAAAAATTTTTTTATTTGCTTATACTTTACCAAGTTTTTTAATTATTAAAGAAACCCCATTTTCAATTCAATGCTTAAATATTTTTTACAAATATTTTCCAAGTTTATTTAAATTACAGGTTTATTTCCAAGTTTTTTAATTAATTAAAAATGTTCTCATCTACCTCTAATTAAAAATACATACCGTATTTTCTCGATTAATTCCCCATGCTAGAGTTGGGTTGAAACAATAATTCCCCACCCCCAAATACCCTACTGCACGTTCAAATGCCAAAACTCGATTAATTCCCCTCCCTCGATTAATTTCCCATGCCAAGGAAGGGTTGAAAAAATAATTCCCCGGGGGAATTAATCGAGAAAATACATACCGTACACCCTTTAATAACTACCCCGGGTAATTATTGTTTCGACCTTCCGCTGGAGGGAGTAATTAATCGAGGGAGGGTAATTATACGAGGTTTGAAATTTGGACGTGATTTAGGGCATTTGTTGAGGGGGGGGGGGGTGAGGGGGGGGTGATTATTGTTTGAATCCATCGCTGGATGGAGAATTAAGAGAAGTGGGGTACAGATAATATGGTATTTAAATATTAAGTATAACAAGCTGATGAATAGTCAAAAAATGATTTTTAAAAATTTAAAAATTAATTTTTAATTAAAAACAGAGTAAAAATAAATTTAAAAAAATTAAATAAATTCGAATAATTAAATTTAAAAAATGAGAAAAAAATAAATTAAATTAGCTCTAATATTTTATTTTAATAATCAAGACCATCTGCAATAAGAAAAAAAATTTTTGAGAGAAGAAAAAAATTTTGAGAGAAGAAAAAATTTTTTTGTTCAAAAAAGCATTACATAATGAGTGACTAAATAGAAAAAAAATTATTTTAATATGAAGAAAATAATAATTAGTGCCTATTAAATTTTGAATAAATATGTATATTTTTCAGTATATTTGAAGGAAATTAATTTAAAATTAGTTATGGGCCAATGGAGATGAGGAAAAATATAATTAATTTAAATAAAGAAAGAATATTGTAATGGGTAATTTTTATATTTAAAGTTGTGCCATAGACGGGTAAACAAATACAGGGTGACCAAAAAGAAATGGGACACATAGTTTATGACATAATTTTATCCAAATTTGAGATAATGAGATCAAATAAAGCTTAAATGATAGAGAAATAAATAAGGAACAAGAATAATCAAAAATTTTCGAAGTGATTACCTTCTGATTAAATATACAGTCGAAGACGCGTATAAAAATTTTGACAAAAAGTTCGCATTTTTGTACAAACACCCTTTTAGTCCATTACCAACTTCCGAGACCTACTAAGTATACACGCATTTTCAATCATTCAAGGAGTACCTAAAATAAGTATGGGCATTTTGGATTGAAAAATTGTGGGGGCAACCTTCATACGAACCTTTTTTTTGTTTGACTCTGCTCCCATAATTATTGGTATTGTTACCCCCGGACTCGAGACTCGATACTTGCCCTTTTCATCAAGTCCCGACCCCGACCATATTTCCCATAGCTGTTTATATTTATTTTATATTTATTACTTCCCAGCCTATCTTTACACTTTATCTCTTTTCTTCTCAATTATTGTTCACCTTCCGTTCCCAACATTAATCACAATTACATTTATCCCTTTGTCAACAACTTACAAATTCCATTCCTATACACTTCCTCCCATCTTTCCCAGACACATTGTCCGATCAACTTTCTTATATCCCACCCACTATTCCCTCTATTTAACCACTTAATTATATCCTCATCTTCAGTTCAATTCAATTCAGTTTATCCAAGTCCCGATTTAATGTCCATATAATTAATCCTCTTTTATTATATTATCCCTTATCAAAACACTACCCATTTAATTGTATTTTAAATGGAAATAAATATTATGAACTATTCTTTTAACTATTTAAATTAGTCCTCTGCGCCTCCCCTACCCAAATTCCCCCACAAACATACGGCGCTCTGAAGGTGCCTGGACCGGGAAGGTCCAGCGCATAACTGGTAGCACCGGATGGTTTCAACCCCCTCTAGGTCTTGGGCATCCCGGTTTCCTTTCCCTATAGATTTAATTTGACCATTCCCTATCCTAAATTTTTGAATTAAATTTAATTAAAAATTTTTTTCCTTACCTTTATTCCATTCTTACCCTTCCTATACTTATTTCCCTTTCCCAAGGTTCATTTCCCCTTCACTCTACTTAAAATCTTCAATCCATATTCCATCATATTTTTCAATATATTAGCATTTTCCAATAAATTCCCTTCTTATGTCCCATACTTTTCCAACCAAACATTACACATTGGCGTTATAAAAAAACACCAATGTTTTGTCTCCTATTAAACATTTTTCTTTCCATTCAATTTCTTTCCGATTTTTCCTCTTCTAATTTTTCTCTTTCTCTCCCATTCGAATTTTTAATTAGCATTCCCTTCTCTTCCCCACCAGAAATTTAAACATATCTCCATCCTGTAAGGATGAAATTTTTTTAGTAATCTAAATTTTCCATTAAGATTAGTATTTTCCAATGGACTCTCATATGTCCGAAACTTTTTCCCAGTCATTCATTACACAAAACATTGGCGTTATAAAAAACATCAATGCTTTGTTTGCTCCTACGCCCCTACCCCATTAAAAGACATTTTCCTTCCATTCTTTGTCCCATACGCGAACTAATAATTTCATTTTACT